TAGTTTAATGAAAAGAAGTACGAGGGGGGACATGATAGCAGAGCTCCAGTATCTCAGGGGCTGCCCCAAAGAAGAGGGAGTCAAGCTACTCTCCAAAGCACCTGAAGGCAGGACAAGAAGCAACAGATGGAAACTAACCAAGGAGAGAAGCAACCTAGAACTAAGGAGAAACTTCCTGACAGTGAGAACAATTAACCAGTGGAACAACTTTCCTCCAGAAGCGGTGAATGCTCCAACACTGGAAGTCTTTAAGAAGAGACTGGACGGCCATTGGTCTGAAATGGTATTGATTTTCCTGCTTGAGCAAGGGGTTGGACTAAATGACCTCCAAGATCCCCTCCAACTCTGTTATTCTGTTAAATTCTTATCACTACAATTAGGGAAAAAACTGAACAAGTATGGTTTGTTTGGAAGGCTTGCCAGAAGAGAGGGAAGGGGGAAGGGAAGGAACCCCAACAGAGATACCACATGTGATTTCAGATATAGAGTCCTTCCACTGAGTATGTTAGTCAACTGTAACATCAACTCTGCCGCACTCACTCATCAGAAACTAAACCTATCCTATGTTTAGTAAAAGCAACAACGTTGGTTAAAATTTACCATTTATTGCTGATCTATCAGTTTTGTTTTGGAGTGTTTTTTTTCTTTTTGCTATCTTTAACAGGTGGAATATTATTAACACAGCTTAAAAATAGTAGCTTCTATGGGAAAGCTTCCCAATTAGTAGCAGTTGCCACAATAACCTTTCTCAGAATAAACGCTATGTATAAAACTGATAGAGTTACTATAGCAACCAAAGGCAATTTCAAGACACCATTAATGAGAAATGCAGTATTTGTGTCACAGAAGAAATTGGATGCTGTTGTTAGCCCGCCACTATTTAAAGAACGTGATACTTTTTGTTCTACGCCAAGAAGCAGCAGAGAGTAAAAGAGCCAGGAAAGACGGTTTAACATCTTCATAACAACCACACTGGATGATCCTCAAAAGAATGGCATTTGGTCCTTAAGTTGTGGATGAGAAAATTGTCACTTTCCAGCTGTTATCTTGAGTTGGTCGGTAGCCTGTGTGTGTCACATCTGCACATACAAAAGATAGAGGAAGAAGCAATCCCAGGGACAGTGATTGCTAGTGGCAGCAATCAGACACACAAACACAATCTTTCAGGAGTCCCTTGTTTGGGGAGGGGGAGGGAGGAGGAAATGTATTTATAATTAGAGACCTTTTTGAATTGTCTCTGAAAGTAGCACATAGCTTTCTATCAAATATGACAAGATAGAATAATGTTCCAGTTTCAAAATCCATCCGAGGTATTTTTCAATAAAAATCCTCTGTACTCTATTAAAATATACAGGTAGTCCTCAATTTACAATTTACAATAATTTACAATTATTAATTGTAATTACAATTGTTAATGCATTAACAGAGGGATAGAATCAAGATTAGGTGAAGTGTTGATACCACTTTACAATGTCTTGGTAAGGCCACACTTGGAATCCTGCATCCAGTTTTGGTCGCAACGATGTAAAAAAGATGTTGAGACTTTGGAAAGAGTACAGAGAAGAGCAACAAAGATGATCAGGGGACTGGAGGCTAAAACATATAAGGAACGGCTGCTGGAATTGGGTATGTCTAGTTTAAGGAAGAGAAGGACGAGGGGGGACATGATAGCAGTGTTCCAGTATCTCAGGGGCTGCCACAAAGAAGAGGAAGTCAAGCTATTCTCCAAAGTGCCTGAAGGCAGGACAAGAAGCAGCGGATGGAAACTCATCAAGGAGAGAACCTAGAACTAAGGAGAAACTTCCTGACAGTTAGAACAATTAACCAGTGGAACAACCTGCCTCCAGAAGCGGTGAATGCTCCAACAGTGGAAGTTTTTAAGAAGAGACTGGATGACTATTTGTCTGAAATGGTATAGAGTTTCCTGCCTGAGCAGGGGGTTGGACTAGATGACCTCCAAGGTCCCTTCCAGCTCTATTCTATTCTATTCTATTCTATTCTATTCTAATTCTACAACTATTTGTTTAGTGAGCGTTTGAAGTTACAATGGCACTGAAAAAAAGTGACTTATCATTTTTCACACTTATGAGCATTGCAGCATCCCCAGGGTCGCCTGATAAAAATTTGGATGCTTGGCAACTGACTCATATTTATGTCGGTCGCAGGGTCCCGGGGTCACGTGATTCCCCTTTTATGCAACCTTCTGACAAGCAAAGTCAATGGGGAAGCCAGATTCACTTAAGAACGGTGTTACTAGTTAGCTGTCGTGATTCACTTAACAACTGTGGCAAGAGATATCGTAAAATGGGGACAACATTCACTTAACCACCATCTTGGCTTAACCAGAGGAATTTTGCGCTCAGCTGTGATTGTAAGAGAAGGGCTACCTGTATTTTGTATGCTAGGAAAACAGCCGATGCCAATATACAGTAGTGGCCAAAATTGTGGAAATCTTTTGGGAAAAGTGTACAGGAGAAATGCCACCTTTGGTTAAGTTTCCACCCATTTTTCTTCTAACTTCTTTATAACTGTAGCCTTGTTCACAATAATACTATTTTATATCACTTTCTGGGCGACCAGTCAACTCTTTGCACCATAACTTTAATTTTATTACGTTTTACAAGCTCACTCAATGAAAGAACACAAAAAACCCCAACCCACTTGATAGCAATCACATAACACACTGACAAACGTCCTCCTCTCGGCTTCAATACGGGACATCAATAACTGGATCCTACTGTGATCTGACTGGCTCATTGCCAAAACAAGATGACACCTGATTGGCTTCTAAACACTCGTGCTCGTTGGCTACAATCAGACGAAGGGAAGCTACCTGAGATCAACCTAAGCAAGTTGTGCTTCCTTTTTCTGGTTATTTGGCTATAACTTTTCATAGGATACAGTACAGATAATCAAACAATCTTTGTTGCATTACATTCTTGATTAAATTATCTTTCCATTGATATATAATTTTATGGTACTACTCCCCCAAAAAAGTGATGTTGTTAGCCATCAAACCTCAAAAATACGCTTTTCCCAAAAGGTTTCCACCATTTTGGCCACTACTGTATCTTAGCTTTCAAATGGTTACAGGGATCAGCTTTCGGTTTCTTGTCCGACTTATTGTTTAGGTGAGTTCATTATTTTCCAGGAATGCGTGTGAAACGTAAATTGGGAAAGCTGCCCCTGTTTTCCATAATCAGATCTTCACTTCCCAAGCTTCAGCTAATCCTTTCAGATGAGGCTTGTGGCTTTATGAATGCCCAAAGGGTGGATTCTTACGGCCATAAATGATAATAAATGAATAACTGATGGGTTCTGCTGGCTGACAAGAGTATTTCAGTTTTGAGACAAATGAAAAGAAAATCTCCATTAATGCAGAAGGGAGAATAAGGGACTTGGAAATTCGGAAATTGCGGGTTTCCTCAAGGAAACAATAATCAAATACCAACTTTTTGCTTTCTTTGACGTCCAGTGGCTGATCAGCCTAAATTTTCTAGCGCCAGCACGTTCTTCAGTTGCCAAAGAAAAGAGCATTTACAAAACTATTTTAAAATCCAAACGAAAGAGCGGCGTTTAATGATATGCTTCACCTCTTTTCCTACTTTTAATCACCTTTAATTACATGGTTTGCCTGTCTTCTTCCTGTCCGGCTCTTCCTTTTATTGCTCACCTGCTTTGGCGGTAAAAATACTCCTTTTTTTATTGTAAGAAAGGGAAGAGGTGAGTCAATCAGGTTGCCAACAGCTGGAATTAAATCACTGGATTTTAAAAAGGAAAATAACTCGCTGACATGGTTGTGGAATACAAATTGTTATCAACTGTTATCAGATAATCCAGACTATCCTAAAATGACATTTGTTTCTTCTAGGGCAGGGGTAGGCAACCTTTACTCTTTAATTATGACTCGTGGACTTCAACTCCCAGAATTCCTGAGCCAGCATGGCTCAGCTTGGAAACCTCTCCCTTTCCCCTCAGCATGGCTGGCTCAGGAATTCTGGGAGTTGAAGTCCACAAGTCATAAAAGAGCCAAGGTTGCCTACCCCTGGACTAGCCAGACCCAAGTCCCGCAGTATAGGTCATTGGTTTATGCCTCACTGCACACAGGAAACCTGGGTGTTGTTCAAACAGAGTCATGGACTGTGAATTGCCTGAATTCTTTGGGGCTGAAATTAAATCATGATTAATTTGCCATTAATTTTGATAGGGGCCACCGGCAACTAATTCCCTGATGAAGATTGACACATCCTTGGCCAACAAAGAAGTTACGCATTGATTTAGGGCAGAATGATGTGACACACTACCACGTGACCAGTTTTGGTCACCATGAGTAAAAAATATGTTGAGATTCTAGAACAGTGGTTCTCAACCTTTTTAATGCCGCGACCCCCAACTGGTCGTAAGTCGAGGACTAAACCGGTCGTAAGTCGAGGACTAAACCGGTCGTAAGTCGAGGACTATCCAACCGGTCGTAAGTCGAGGACTTTCCCTGCCCGGGAGCACCACGCATGCGTGGTTCCGCCCCCTGCACCGGCCGAGGCGTAGCTGGCAAGCAGCAGAGACGGAGCAGGCCGACCACCAGCTGGCCCAGCCCAAGGGAGGTAAGGCACCCACCAGAAAAGGGGAAAAAATGGCAGACAAAAAAAATGGCGGACAGCCTTGCTTGGCGACCCCCGTGAAATGGTCGATCGACCCCAAATGGGGTCGTGACCCATAGGTTGAGAACCGCTGCACTAGACCAAACTAGATCCCATTTTTCTTATAGAATTTCCTTTTTTTAAAAAAAATAATAATAAATCTGTTTTTCCTTCCCAGTCATCCTCCACATATTGTCATACAGGAAAAAAATGCAAAAATCTCCCTGATACAAAAATAAATTCAACAAAATAATCTTTTCAAATTAAAACACTTTCTTCGGTATCAGGCTTGGGCATACGATAAGCTGGTGTATCTTGAAAAAGAGGAGAACCCAGTAAAAAAAAAAGGAAGTCTGAACTTACCGCTGGCATTCTCCGGCATGCAACACTAAATTTTCATTGTTCTTTGCACTGATCATGAGTTCATGTTCCGTTGAGTTGAATACATCAAGGAGCAAATGGCACTGGCGAGTACTATTTGGAAAATTAAAATAAGTAAAATATCGCCTCAAACATGTGGTAGCAATAATTATTATTAAACATACTGTACACTTTCACGGAACAATTTTCAAATCAATTATATACAACCCGTATGCAACCGACAAAATACAGAGTTTCTTGCACTATCACACAGTTTTGTCATTGAATGAGACTGTGGTTATCTAAAAGAAAACATTTTTTCACAAGCCACACACTTGTTCCACTGGTTAATTGTTCTAACTGTCAGGAAGTTTCTCCTTAGTTCTAGGTTGCTTCTCTCCTTGATTAGTTTCCATCCGTTGCTTCTTGTCCTGCCTTCAGGAGCTTTGGAGAATAGCTTGATTCCCTCTTCTTTGGGGAAGCCCCTGGGATATTGGAAGACTGTTATCATGTCACCCCACGTCCTTCTCTTCATTAAACTAGACATACCCAATTCCAGCAACTGTTCTTTATATATTTTAGCTTCCAGTCCCCTGATCATTTTTGTTGCTCTTCTCTGCACTCTTTCTAGAGTTTTAACTCTAGTGTACAAATTGTGTACAATAGTGTACAAATTGTCTCTTATTTTTGCTCAAAAGAATTTCTTGATGAATTACTCTTATAAAAAATAAGATGAAGAAAAAAAATAAAAAATAGATGAAGAAACAAATCTAGCCATATGTTCATTGCTGATAAGCCTTCATATATCTATAGATCATAATATCCAAGAATTTTAATAGTAAAGTCACTATTATTTGAGCCTTTGGCAGAAAAAAAAGACTATTTCAGAATTGGCGTTAAGCTTCATTATCGATATTACTCATTTTACACGAAGGAATACTTTTCTCAACAAACACAACTTACCTAGTTGCAGGCAAGGTACTGACACGTGTGAAGAACACAGATGGCTCAACGTCCACGTGAAGCCCCAGGGACAAATTCCTATAATATCCATCAGTATGTCCAGGGCCTCCCGAGTATCTGAAATTCAAGATGGCTTCCAATGTCTAAAAATAGAATAGTAAAAATATTTAATCTATTTATTTCCGCCATGGTGCTATTTATTTCTAAATTGCTCAGACAGCTTCAAATGCATAACCCAAACACGTTAGGTGACGAATTACCTGTGTAACATGATAGATACATCATGAAATGCAGACGCTCAACATTAAATGTATACTACGCAACCTGTAGGAGATGACCAGGTTGAGCCGGAGGGAGGAAGGGTCAAATGCGTCATCAATCTCGAGTCCCTTCTCGTCCACAAGAGTCCAGCCCACCTTAATTTCTGCTGATTCTTATCTACCTCCAATTCGCTTCGACTGTTAGTAGTTCAGATTCTTGTGGAGAGAGCGTAAACTTGCGAAACATCTATACATTCATTTGTACTGCCCGGGCTCCTGATGTCAATGCCGCTAACATCGGATGTTCTTGCTTGACAATATATGAAGATGCAGACATTTTCTATTTAACCTGCGTATTACTTTTTAGAGTTAAAATTAGATGGTGCTGGAGTGGAGGGGGAAGAATGTGCTTGGGGACTAGTTAGCCATAACAATATCTCAGTAGAGTATTCTTCAAGGTTGGTTGTAATAAGAGGAGATAAGTAATGGCGGGTTATGGAATGGGAGGGAAAGTTCGCACTTCAAACTAATTAGAGAATATGATTAATGACTGTTAAATGAAGGAGTGAGTTATGCTTAGATTGTTGTGGTTCCGTCCTGTGAGCCCATCTTATCAGAGGAAGAAGGCTCCGAACATGAAGGAGAGGAGATGACCAGGCCTCTCTCTCCAGGACCCTCCTCTCTGGCAATGCCTCAGGTGTCTCCCGACGGAGAAGAGATTGGCCAGGAGCCAGGTGTTTCCGAGCCGTCGGATAGTGACGAAGATACGTTGTGGCTGGATCCACGCCAGCGTAGGCAAGACAAGCGTGCGCAGCAGAAAAGGAGGCGTGTCAGAGATTAAGCTGAGTCACTGGACCCCACCCCACAGGCTATAAAAGAGAGTATGGTGGCCATTCGGACTCTGTGACGGACAAAGCTAAACCTCTGGCGAATCACTTTGCATCTTTGGACACAACGCCTATTTGCTGTGGATTTAATTACAAACTGGACTATTCAAACTGTGTGTATTTTTGTCTGTGTTATCGCAGTAAAAAAGTTCTTGGCAGGCAGCTATGGAGTTGCTGCCAAGTTCCTTATCAGTGGCGTGGAGTGTCTGAGAAGGTTATTTAACCCTCGGCTGGCTGTTTGGGTGTGTGTGAGACGGGGACAGAACATAGATACTGTGTGTTTGAGGGAGGACAATTCAGATTTTTGGCTTCTTTTATGTACGTGCCGAAGCTATGTTGCTATGCCTCAAAGTTCTTTGAAGAGCTTCTTCTTTCGGAACCTGATTTCCTGCACCTGATACAACCCATGTGACCTGCTAGGTCGTCATCGGCTCACAGACATTTCCTTACCTAAACAGAGAAATGAAATGACCAAGGGCAAAATAAAATTTTTAAAAAAAAGCCGTGAGAGTAAGAGCAACTTCTGACTTCCTGCTGGCTTGATCATAGCTGATAACCTTTTGGATGCACTCTGTATGCTAGTCCATTTGAGGCACCTTGGTTAAAAAACTGTTGCCCTGTACTGCAGGGGTCCCCAACCTTGGCAACTTTAAGACCTGTGGACTTCAACTCCCAGAATTCCCCAGCCAGCCATGCTGGCTGGGGAATTCTGGGAGTTGAAGTCCACAGGTCTTAAAGTTGCCAAGGTTGGGGACCCCTGCTATAGTGCACTGTTTTGGCCCAATTAAAGGTTCCAGACACAAAGGTTTTAGTAGGATACAGATTTGTCCGTTAATTTTTTTTTTTTGACAATATTTTATTAAGTTTGATAAAGGTAGGGGAAAAACAGGATCGATATAGGTAGTGGGGTTCGGGGATGGAGCTGGGATGAGGGTAGGTACAACAATGGGGTTGCCCCCAGTAACATTTCCAAGCTTTAGAAAGCAAACTATTGTCCGGATACAGCTATTCAATGAGAATAGTTAATATAATAATAAGTAGCTATAGTCAACAAAAACAACAATAATTATAGAGCATGTTGAGTAATCAGTAAACATCAATCATCTTATTAAATGTCACAATCATTTCTCGCTCACTCGGTTTGCTAACCCTTGGTAAAAAGTTTTCCCATGTTTTAAAATAGACTGAGTCTTCTTTCTCTTCAATCTCTAGGGTTAGTCTGTCCCATTTCTGCACATTCTAGAATTTTCCTAATTATAATCCCATCGGGTGGTACATTTTCATTTTTCCAATATTGGGCAAATGCTATTCTCGCAGCTGTAAATATATGTAATATTAAATATTCATTCTCTTTCCCATAGTTAGATCCTAGTATTCCTAACAAAAACAATTCTGGCTTAAATTCTATCTGTATTTTAGTCATCTTTTCCAGCCACGTATGAATCTTAGACCAAAATTTCTTTGCACTAGGACATACCCACCAGATATGGTAATAGGTGCCTGGCTTTTGTTTACATTTCCAACAATTATTCGAGATATTTTTAAACATTTTCGCTAGCCTAACTGGTGTCATATGCCATCTATAAAACATTTTATATAAGTTTTCTTTATATGAAGCTGCTTTAGTCAGCTTTCTATCCCATAACTTTTGCAGACTTCTAAGTCTATAGAATATCCAAAGTTTTTTGCCCAGACTATCATTGTCTCTTTTACTTGTTCTTCTTCCATCTTCCAATTTAGCAGAAATCTATAAAGTTTCTTAATCAAATTTTCATCTGTTTTCAAGAGTATTTGGTCAAATTCTATCTGTTCTTTATAGAATCCCATTGTCTTTACATCTTTCTCATATCTTGTTTGGATTTGTAGGTAAGGCCACCGTGATAGGTCCATACCTTGTCGTTGTAGGTCTTGCCTGTCTTTAAGTTTTCCGTCCTTGTTCAAAATGTCTTTATAAGTAACGAGTTTGTCGTAATTAATTAAATTTGGGTAAGCAAAAGCTTCCATTGTTGAAAGCCATTCTGGTATTTTGATATAAATATTACATTTTTATAATTGCTGACTTTGGATCGTATTGGCTGGGGAATGATGGAATCCTTAAAAGACATTGTTGGTGTAGTGGTGAAGGTGTTGGCCTACAAACCAGGAGATTGTGAGTTCCAGTCCTGCCTTAGGCATGAAAGTTAGCTGGGTGACCTTGGGCCAGTCACTCTTGCTCAGCCCAACTCACCTCAACTGGTTGTTGTTATGGGGAGCGGGATAGGAGGAGGAAGGAGCATTATGTATGTTCACTGCCTTGAGTTGACACACCTACATGCAATATAAACAAGCGCACACATTTTTAAGATAAAGGGATGATGATGATGATGATGATGATGATGATGGTGGTGGTGGTGGTGGTGATGGTGGTGGTGGTGGTAACAGAGGAGGAGGAGGAGGAGGAGGAGGAGGATAGGCAGATTTACTCTGAACAGCTTACATCATGCTTTACCTTTAACACCATCAAAAATAACACTTGCCTATTCCAGGTCTTTGGGAAGGATTTAACAGGTGAATAAAAATCCCAAATATAGACTAAACCTTTGGCTGACTCTGCAACCAACTGTAATAATAATAATAATGTAGAAATCCACTGGATTCTATTCAGTGCTCAAAACCCTTAACCTGTCCTGCCCCGCCGTCTCACAAAAACTGGCACTCTGGAGCGTTGATGGCTTTGTTTGGCTCTTCACATAAAATTACTTCAGTTCCCACCCGCAAGTCTTGAAACTAAAAATGTCATAAAACATGGGACACAATATTCATGAAAGGGGTCGGCGGTTTTCTGAGAAAGTAAGTTTGGATGGAGGGGAGGGGGCGAACAGCTGCGTTTTTACGCAGCTCTTCCTACCTAGTCTCAAGACCACAAGCATAATGGTTACCTGCAGTGAGGTAAATTTGCAGCAAAGTGTCCATGGTCTTACTGTGCTACGTCCATTAACTTTAATGCAGACTTCACAGCTGGAGGCCCATTCAATGCCCTGAAAGTACATCTAAAGTGCGGCATAAAGCATGATAGAAAATATTATTAAATTGACGAACGGCGGTTTTCTATTTGCAATATACAGATAAAACTCCATGGATGAATGACCTGGGAGAAAACAGGCCCTAATGCAGGGGTAGGCAACCTTGGCTCTTTGATGACTCGTGAACTTCAACTCCCAGAATTCCTGAGCCAGCCACGCTGAGGGGAAAGGGAGAGGTTTCCAAGCTGAGCCAAGCTGGCTGAGGAATTCTTGGAGTTGAAGTCCACAAGTCATAAAGCGGCCTAGGCCTAGGCCAGAGGTAGGCAACCTTGGCTCTTTTATGACTGGTGGACTTCAACTCCCAGAATTCCTGAGCCAGCATGGCTCAGCTTGGAAACCTCTCCCTTTCCCCTCAGCGTGGCTGGCTCAGGAATTCTGGGAGTTGAAGTCCACCAGTCATAAAAGAGCCAAGGTTGCCTACCCCTGCCCTAATGTAAAGAACTAAACCTGAAACATAGAGGGTGGGACATGAATGTTTTTTTTCTAATTCAGTGGCCCCCAATCTTTTTGGTACCAGGGACCGGGAAAAACAATTTTTCCATGGACTGGCAACTGGATGGTTTCACACGCTATCTAGATATCGCATATACGTAGATGAAGTTTCCCTCACTTGCACAACCTGGTTCCTAACAGGCCGGGGACCGGGACCGGTTCATGGGCCAGTGGTTGGGGATGCCCCACCTTCTAATTGATTGGGTCCACTGAGGCAAAGTGTCTCAACAGCATGCTCAGTCTGGGAATCCAAAATAAAGCATCTCGTTCAGATGGCTGTCCAGCCTTCTTATAAACATGAGTTCACCACCCTGCTGGTTACTGATTCCACTTGAAGACCGCTCTATTGGAACTGGTTTTTAATCATTCGACTGGTGTCTAGGGCTATGCAAGTATGTTGGGTTTGAGGCACCAAATGGGATTCAGGTCACGTGGGGTGGGG